TTCATCCTAACTGCCGAAGTGGAACGAGAGAAAAAATCTTAGAGCATTCCAGAATGCACATGGTTAATATTTAAACCACAGGATGACTTAATCCGCAAAATCTCCAAGTTTAATATTGGAGAAAAATCGTTCAGTATTTCGTTCATTTGCTTAGTCCATTTAAACATCATGTTGTGGAGCTATACGTGCTACATTTAATGAAAGAAATGTTAAAGTTAAATTGGGCGATTTAAAGCAAAAATTTTGGGCCAGAACAATTTTGTTCTCAAGACTTTTTTGGCGTAGAAATTTTGAGTCAGGGGGGGGGGAGAGAGGGAGAGATGTGAGATGCATTGAATATGTACCACCTTTGCATTTCGAATAGCATGCTCCCCACCCATCTCTCACAGTATTGCGCACATAATAATGTCTACCTTCTGTTCTGATTACCAATTTCTTGCTGCTGAACAAAGGAGACGAAATGTAAAAATCGACCTACCAACCTTTCCCAGTGCTCACGCCCATTTCCCCTCTTAGCCTTCTCACTCGGAACAGGCTGTTTTTGACTTGCTAGCGTTGGAAGATCATTAGTTCTATGGGGAGGGGGGGGGGGAATTAAGCCCGATTTGGCTTGACTCCTAAAGTAATTTTACCAAAGGGACTATTATTATTATATCAAATGGCAGACGTCTTGATGGTTATCATTAGCCCTTTAGCTGACTTCAGGCTTCACAGAGAGGAAGGTACATCAAATTGAAAAAAAGTCGAGAGGGGGGGGGAACAGAAGAGTGGTTCACAGATGTAAAAGAGGCAGACAGATACAATGGTAAAAAAGGTGAGGTGAGTACTATGGAAGTAGTCGAATACTACATATAGTGAGATGATGGTAGTTTGAAGAGAGAAGTCAACTGCCGATTAATAGATTTTTTTGCCGTATGTGTATACGTTGCCCAGGGTTAGGTACCTTCAAAGGCAGAGGAACCACATCCAGGCACATTTGTGCAATTAAGTACTGCGTATTCCAGTATTTATTTCATCAATGCAGGATGTAATACTCTTTAAACAATAGGGGTGGGGGTGGGGGTGTACGCGCATATTCTATTATTTGGTGCAAATAAGACATCCACATGATTATGCAATGCCAGTTTACAACTCATAAAAACGATTTTTTTTCTCTTTTACCTCTCCAAAGACGTTGCTTGATAGTACTAAAAGTAGGCAGATTTCGAGGAGAAAGTGGGGAAGTTTGGCCGTGGCGATAGTTACTTCGAAGGGAGGCAACTCTAAGTCTGTTAGGGCGTTCCCAAGAAGAGGAAGCAAGTTGCTAACAGTTTGACACGGATTGTCAATACTTCTACAGTTTCACTGTTACTCTAAGACTAAAGGCTATAAAGACGTCTTATTTCAAGGAAAATTAAATTAGACATTAAGATATTCATTAAATCTAAGGCCTATGAAAGACAATTATTTAAGCACTCTTAAATGATGGGGGAGGGGGTAAATTATAACTTATACCACAATGCAAATATTGGACGTACTTGAAAATATAGGGAAGAATTTAAATACTTTTTGCACGCCAGTACCTATTACCTTGAATTTTAACATCTTCAGATTTTCTATTTATTGATATAACAGTTGTGATAGCCAAGCTAGTAGAAAGCTAGAATAGGTGTGATTGAAGTTTCCTATGGGCAAAAATTTATCCCATTTGAATTCTCACGCAAATGAGCAGCTCACAACATGATGCTGAGAATATTAAAATATCTACATCCAGACAATAGGATAAACACTAATCAATGGTTTACTTTTCCAACCAGATTCATTAGATAAGCTTTAAGAGTGCATTTCGTTTTCCAATAGGATACAACTATAAATTAATTGTAATTAACGAACAGATACTTGATTACAAAATATTATCTGAATAAAAATCTAAAATTGGTAAGATCCACCTCGTAAAACATAATCAAAACGGAATATTAATGGGATGAAAACGCGATAAGTTAACCGAATTCTCATCAGATTCACCACAGTTAAACTCAACGCCTAAGAAAACTTGTTTGTTCAGCTTTATACTACTCGCTGTCAACAATTTTAATATTTGTGGACGTTTTCCACTTCAAGGAAAGTTAAACACAGTTAAGGATCAATAATACTCTGCCCTATTTTGAATTTTGAAATACGGTGCAATTAGTTAGGTGCTTTTAATGCCTCGGTTGGGTTTTTGTTTGCTATCTGAGTTTTTTGTGCTTTTCCCTGGATGGAGCTTGCGAATTTCTCGTCTCGTAATGGGAAATGCTACTTGTACATAAATCAATAGAGGTGCTTTTTGCGTTAAGGCAAAACTCTCATGTCATTCGCATGGCAGTATTTTTGTTTTTAGACCTATCAAGTTAACAATAAATGCCTTTCAACCCCCCCCCCCCCTACAAACTCCACAGGTGCAACAGATATAACATTTCACATCTATGCAGCACTACCTCTCTCTCTCTCTGTGTTAGCAAGACATGCTATTCTTTTGCCTCACTTCTTTCCTCCTCTCCATATTCCATTTCTGCGGAACCTAGACTTTGTTTGAGTCTACTGAAGCTTTATTTAGTTAGCGCTCTCCTGAGATTTGAGCATTCGAGAGCAGTTACATGGTCTATTAGACAGACGTAGTTAAGCTATTTAGTTGGGGTAATTTATAGGCACACAGTCTAGTAACTAATGCGCCAATTGAACAGTTTACTTCTTAATTTGGCTTTTTTCAATCACTTTGCATGTGTTTATTCCTCATACACTCTCCCTCTTTTCTTAAATCTCTGCCCATTGACATTAAATTCGTCTTTTGAATTTGAATTTTTATCATCAAGGTTAGTAAATTACCTTTATCCAAAGAAGCATGTAAGCGTAACAGTTAATGTCCCATTTTTGAGGAAATAAAGTTGTACAAACCAATCCAATTGGTTCTAAGGTTGGGGTGCGCGATAGACTTACCCTCACGTGGGGCATTCTGGGCAACGTATAATGATGCCCTAAAATTGTCACTAAACCGATAGTTGACTTCAAACCGCCACGAATCGGCTGTATGTCATATTCGACCACTTTCACAGTACTCACCATACCTTTTTCTCTACCTTTGCTTCTTCTCTTTCACAACTATAAATCACTCTTCTGTTCACCCTCTCGACTTTCCCCGACTTTGATGTTCCTCCCCTCCCCCTCTGTGAAGCCCGAAGTCAACTAAAGGGCCATTGCTAACTATCACAATGCCTGCACTATTTGATTTAACTAAAGAAATAAATAAAGTTCTCAGGTTAGATTAGCATGCTAGGGGTTGTTATTTCATCATTACTTGCCTTTAGCAATCCCAAATTTACCAAATGTTGCTTTGAAATATACACCCAAAATTTCTCAAGGTGAAGGGAAAGTTGGCTTATTTTGTGAAATATGAGCTAAGAAGGTGACTTATATGACAGAGGAGGTGAAAAAAAGGGAGGGGTGGGGGGTGGGAGATTTGTAAGATAGTAAAAAGCGGAAAATATGAGGAAGTTCAGGCACCACAGAATTAGAATTTTGAGCATTTTATCTTGAAGTTAGATTAAGAAAGATTAGAGGCGAAAAAAACCAATGGTGAAGACGTGATAATAATAATTTAAATATTCCAAAAATTAAGATTAAAGAAAGCGCCATCTATCATATTTTTTTTCAAATTGAAAAGTAATCTTTACGTTGACTTATTTTAAAATCTATTCAAAATTAATTTAATGAAATTTATTCAGCGAAATATATATATATATATATATATATATATATACATATATTATTTAAAGCGAGAATAGGGGGAGACGAAGTGGTTTGAAATTTGCAAAACAGTACACTGCACTAAATTCAGTACACAGACAATTCCCAAGGAACCTGAGATTCTGTTGTTTATAGTTTATAAAAATAAGAGCAGATAGTTCAAATTGCAATAATCTACAATACTCAAGAGACTCAAAACGAAGGCTAAGTTAGCAAAACATTGATGCCAGAAAGAATTTGAAGAGTGAAACATAAATTGACCTCAAATTAATTTTATCAAAACCCACTTCAATGCAGAAAAGTGTGCTAAGGGGCCTGTAAATGAGTAAAGAAGATTCCAGTAGATGGGAGGGAGGTTGGGGTGGTGGGGAGGGGGGGGCGTGAGTGGAGGAGAGATTGAAGGGAGGCGGGACAAAGAGCTATCTGACTTAATTTTCTAATTCAGGTTTTAGAATCCTCGATTAATGAGCTCCACGTTCCAAAATTCATATTTCAACTTTTAATTCGGAGAAAATCTTCATGCCCAATCTAATTTACTTATTAACCAATGATTGAATCATACTGGTATGTATTCACATTTCAAATCATTTTTTATTTCAAGTACAAAGTCAAAGAGCATGACAGTACCCTTTTTTTTCACGCAGAGCTCAAAGGGCAGAGTGTGGAAAAAGGTATGATGCGATATCCAATGCACTGAATGAATTATATTTTAAAGCTCGGGTTACGTGAAAAAATGTGAATTTTACCACGTGGTGTACCCTGGGCAACGTATACTCATACGGCAAAGCAAGTCTATTAACTGGCAGTCGACTTCCCACTTCAAACTACCATCACCCGCAAGTCTATTAACTGGCAGTCGACTTCCCACTTCAAACTACCATCACCCCCACTGTATGTCTTATTCCACTACTTCCACAGTAATCATCCCTACCTTTTCTCTGCCTTTCTGTCTGTCTCTTTTACAACTGTAAACCACTTTTCTGCTCCTCACCCCTCGAATTTCTGTTACTTTGATGTTCCTTCCCCCCTGTGAAGCCCGAAGACAGATAAAAGGCTAATGATAACTATCAAAACGCCTGTCATTTGAAATAAATGAATTAATTAATAAATGTTAGTGTCTGAGAGAAACAATAATAATTATTGAGCCCATCACTACTCAGCATAACCCGATTGTCACTATTCCAAAGTTTTGTCATTTCATTAGCTAAAATGCTCATGGTAGGGATTAAAACCTGTGACTACTGACCATGCAGATGAATGAGTAAACCGCTACTCCACTGAAGCCTGAAAGTGACATGGATAACATGTCTTGCATGGAGGACATACCTATAGATGGGGTGATAGAGGATGACATTTGATGGATGTACACAGGAGAGAGCAGAGGGACTGCGTAGTCCAAGTCCCAGTAGGCCTCCTGATACTGCAGCTGCGGCGGCGGCTGTGGTTGGAGAGACATTATTGGCGGTGCTTCCTTCACCACCTCCCTCCAAACTCTTCGAGGTAGGTATTTCTGCAAGGAATGGAAAAAAGAATGTCTTGGTAACCCATATTAATACAGCCAGGGTGCGCAATAGACTTACCTCCACGTGGTGCACCCTGGGCAACGTATACCCGTACGGCAAAAAAGTCTATCGATCCGGCAGTTGAATTCTGACCTCAAATTACCATCACCCCACTGTATGTCATATACGACCCCTTTCACAGTACTCATCTTAACTTTTTTTATGCCTTTCTGTCTGTCTGTCTCTTTTACCTCCGTGAATCATTATTCTGTCTCCCATATCGACTTTTTTTGTCACTTTGATGTTCCTTCTCCTCTCTGTGAAGCCCCGAAGTCAGTTCCAGGGCTAATGATAACTTTCAAAACGCCTGCCATTAGATATAACTAAATAAATATTAATACAGCCAACTAATTTCACCTAACAGCTCTGAAATGATAGAGCCATTACCAAATAGTTTTTCCAATGGCTCAATTTTTCATCTTTTGCTTAAAAAACAACGTTGGACTTGTTTCTGAATTGCGCAATCCAAAAAAGGTAACTACTGAAAAACTTAATACGTCATCATCTAACACTGATTTTCCTCAATCTCCTAGATAGATAATATCTAACCAAACGGATCGATTCCACGTAGTTCTAATTATAAAGGTCTTTTTTTGGGGTGAAGATACACACAAATTGCAGCGTGCGCTCCAGACATGCTTCTATTCATTAAAAATAAGAATTTAAAATTTCTCACCCATTCTCTTTCCCCAATAAGAGTTTTATCGAAATCATTGGCAAAATATACTTGCGAAAAAGCGGTTCGACAATTGGGATCAAATATATATTCTCATTATTGAAGTAGTAAAAGTGTTGAATACTTCTTGCGGTGATTAGCAATCAATTTACGCACAGTTTGCCGGATTTTAAACCTTTAACATGGCTCCATATATCTTCTGTCTTTTATGACAACAAAAACGACCTTAAAAAATACACCCAAATGAGCGATTGAATATAATAATTCACACATTTGATTGTGGACTAAGTGACCTAATGTACTTCTAGGGTAATTTCGAGAACACATTCACAAAATAACCACAGAATTCGGCATTAGAATTGGGGAATAGAAAATAGCTTTGAAGGTGTCAGAATTTTGTTAAAAAGAAAATTCAGGTGACTTAGAAAAATTGTTTAATTGTTCATTGATTTGGAAACGATATCCTGAGCAAAAAATGTCGAAAGGAAAACCAACTCTTATTAATCTAGCTCACTCCTTTTTCTCCTCTACATAATTTCCTAATGCACTTTCTTTGAAATCTCTCTCTACAATAAATGTTTGAAGTAATGATTTAAAGCGTAGTAGTTTTTGCTTTAAACTCTTCTCTTGCGGAAAAATCTTTTTTAAATGGGTAGGCACTAAATTTTCTTAAAAAAATGCATTACTTGCAAAAGAAATGCGATACCAAATCGTGACGAATAAAGTCACTGGCTAATGCATAATTTGATCAATATTACCCAAAATAGTTTTCTATCTTTATAAAAATGAAATTGAAATTTATCTCGTTCGTTTTCTATTCGTCAAGCTTTTTTAATAGTAGCTCCCAGAAGTAGTCACAATTCTCAGAAACCAATAAAGAGCGCAAAAGTCTCCTATTTGTCATATTTTAAACAAATAGATAAATTTTACGAGGAAATTGTAAACTTGAATTTTCTAGGATCCAACCTATTCATTTCATTCAATTCCTTCTGACAAAAATTTATTTTGAATACTTTCGTGGTCTTCTTAGGATTCCGAAGTAACGATCGGGCCGATGATTGCACTGGATCTCCGAACCCTCTGGATTTCGAGTCAAAGAGAGGGTACACGCTCAGGCATATCCCAGATTCGAAATATATGATTAGATAATGAGAACAGAGACGGATTTTTACACCAACAATGCGTTATCCGTTACCTTATATGCTAAGGATTGTGATTCACTTCCACTGTCCCCTTCTCTTTTATTAAGCTGTCAACGATTTCCTCATCCTGAATAATGAAATTTCACAGAGAGAGAGAGTGAAACTGAAATACTTAGATCATTAAACTGTCCACTAAACGAATGGATGAGAACTTGTGACACTTTCGGTATGTCCTGAATAGCGAATGCCTAGATAAAGGCGGATACTGATGATACTGGTTGCAACAGACTTAATGAGTATAATCTGAGGCCACTTTGAGTAAAAATTTCCAGGATATATCAATAAGTTCTTCGGATTAATTTGGGACAAAGGAACTTTAGTTTGATCGCATGTACGGAGATCCTGCTTGGTCAAAGCTGCACATTTGATACTGTTCCTTATGCGTTATAAACAGTTTTAGCAAGACCAAATCTCTCGGGTTGCTTGCATTTACCATTCAGCAGTGTCGATTGCTTAGAACGCCCAATGAGCATGGGTAAACAGTCAAAGACATTTAGGAACCTTGAACATAATGAGCAGTTTATGAGTTCTGTTGTAATCAAGAGTATGATAACCTTCTTTATGCTCCCCTTGGAGACATATTTGATCTGTCTGGTGTTTGAGCAGACAAGATGTCGGAACGGATTGTTACTTGGGCATGGGGGGCATGGAGACGAGTCGTTCTGGAACCTCCTTGGGATTAGAACTTTCCAAAATGCGAAGATTCGTTGTTACTTTTATGGGACAACTTCACATTGTCACTGCCATACCCAACAGGAGTTGCTGTAGAAAGCTCCATAGGACATGATAACACAACAGGAGATTTTAAACAGGTTTTAAGAGAAGTAGAAGAAATGGTGATTGTCGATGAGTTTGTAACATCAAAGGTTATTTTAGCTTCAAGTTCGCAGAAAGAACCTTTATTTCAGTGGTTAAGCTATCCTGCATTTGGTAAAGTGTTGAGAAATCTGGCACGGTAAGATCGTTAGAGATGTTTGATAATGTGGGCTCATCACTTGATATAGCAACCTACCAAAGGTGGTACAAATCGAGAACTCAATCATATATTGGTAGACTGTACTCTAAAATTTAGCCCATTCAAACAAATATAAGAGTTTTTACTTGAATAAAATTTCATTGTTTATATAGACTTTCTTGGATAAAACGGAATAAGGAAATTTTATTGATTTAAATACAACGCCTGAAATAGTGTTCATATTTAAATGGTGATAGCGCTCAGATGTTCGTTTAATCTGTATCATTTAATGCATTCATGCCATTGTAAACAGACCAAAAGCATCCTCAATGGAGAATTGAGTTCGTGAAACCAAAGTTGAATAATGAAAATGGAAAGAAATCGGCTCACCCATTGGAACGGGAGTAGAAGATCCGGATATTCTGCTTAAGGCAGAGGAGAGTCGTGCACCAACCTTTAAAATGAATGAGAAAGGGAATTAGAATTTCTAAATAATAGTATTATAAACATGTAAGATACTTCTGCTTGAAGGAAGGGATGGAGGGGGGGGGTTGTTAGGTGGTTTTTTCCGGCTGTCAATCAACTAATTTGCGTTCCATTAACAGAAGAATTTCTTAAATCAACTAACTGTTGCTCGCAATACTAGTACCACAGCATGATAGATTTACCCATTTCTTGCATGGGACATTATTTCTCGGCTAAGCTTCCATTCTTGAAGCTCATGATAATCGAGGTGTAATCCGTATTTGCAGATTGAATATCTCATTCGGCAATTGTATCAAGTGTTGCTATGTACTTCGTCAAATCTTAAGCTAGCTTAGCACTAGAGCCTTTTCTTTCCTACTCATAAAACTTATATCTACGAATAAAAATTGGAACGAGAATATCTAGTGTCACAGAATATTTTGTTCACGGAAAACTTTAACCTTTGTTCTTAACGTGGTATTTTGCCAATTTCATACTAAAATAGACTGTAAATTGGATAATGGGAAAGTGGTGTTTATTCTACTCAAAACCAGTTCATAATGACTGGAGTTATGTGAAAAAGTATATGCCAAATTAACTAAGAACTATTCATTTTTACTTCACAATAGGTTCCAACACCTTAAAATTTTTAATTTGACACATTCACTTTATTTAGCTCGGTTCTTACCCGTATACTCGAAGGTTTCGTGTTATTAACAGATCTGTTGGAAACTTGAATGCACCCGTATAACTCCTACCAACTACCAGTATTTGATAAAGAATTTGAACAAGTATTTTGCTTCAGAAACTTTTTACTTAAACTTTGGGTGCATATTTGATTACCTTGAATCGCCAATGCGCAGTGAATTCTGTTTGAAGATACAGCACTTCGTTTATTTCCACATCTCTCCCAAATCAATAGGAAATTCGTTTTTGTGTCTTACGCATCGTAGAAACTTTGCTATAACTTTGCAAAAATGCCGTCTCCTATCTCCGCTCTCCTTCCCCCCCCCCCACCCCCACCCCAAGCACAACCCATTTTGTTCCCTAATCGTCGGTCTTCTGATATTGGGTAGATTTTGATGGGGGGGGGGGTGGGGGTTGGAAGGAGGTATAATTATCTCAAGTTTTATAGGCAATATTTTACTATCGTCAGCCATAATAAAAATCAGTTTAACAAATATTTTTCTACTTTAGATTTTTATTGAAGCATGTTAAAACAAAAGAATGGCTTTTAATGGGTGGAATTAATGCATTTGATTGCTAGAATTTAACCAAAATGTGGAATTAGAACAGTCTTGATAGAAAAATGCAGCATGAGCATTACCTTCGATTTGTTCCTTCCATAGACAAAGACTCCATCGGCGGATACTTTGATTAGAGCTTTCTGTTTCTTCACACCTTTGGCCTTGAACTCGTACTGAAGGGCGGGAAATTTGTAAATATTTGTCAATTTAAAATCGTGAGTGCAAATGGTCTCTTATTTCAATGTGATTAATAGTAGATTTGCCTTTTAATAATTACATTAATAACTATTTTGGAAATAATATCACCCCTATAATCATTGACAGAACCTTCAGTTTTAAGATTACTTGAGACCACTTATTCAGGAAGCTTTCACTTTATTTGCTAAAAGTCTTTCAATAAAATTTAAATTAAAAATAGCACAATTATAGCTTCATAATTGTTCGCATGTTCGAAAATATTTATTTTAGTCAGTAATAAATGGGAAGCAAAATTTAAACAATTATTTGTCATGATAATTTTGTATCCAGAATTCCGCAACAATATATGCGTTTTCAATTAAGGACTTTCATCTATCGTTACCTAGTCGAAATTAATAAGTGTATCAGTGTTAATTGAAAAAACAGGATGATTTACTTAAGATACCAATGCACTTATTTACTGTTTTTAAAAATAATTGCTTGTCATGCTATTTGTGGTTAACCCATAACTGAAATGATGGCCTAGTTGTAATGTGATTTTGAGTTTTTTATGATCGGATCATCACTCAAACAAAGACCGTCTAAGAATGCAACTCAAAATCACGCCTCTAAGAAACTCCTCAAGTTGCTTTATGGAAAGTTTTACTTATAGTCAGTTTGTCAATGGATTGTATTTTGAAACCGCTCTTATTGTAAATTCCTATATATCGAAAAGAATCGATTGTCTAAACCCTGACTTGTCAAGCATAGCTTTCGACTAATTCAATAGTTGTCATTAATTAATAAAACGAGCTGACATGCTCTGTCGGAACACTATTACCTGTTATTTATTTTATTCTTAGTTGGGGCCAGTAAGGTTTTTAATTACCACTTATAATGGTCTTCATTTAATAGGAAAAGTGTACAGAGGAACATAAAATTCAATTTATTGCAATAGCATTACGATCTACTTCTCTTCACTGAATGTAATTTAATCAAAGTGGAAGTAAGCATTGAAGTTTCCATTGCAGAAGATAGCTTCTTGATGGTGCGAGAGCAACTACAAGCATTTTTTCACCATAATGGATGTTTTTCATTTCAGTTAGGCGTAGTTTGGGCTGAATATGCATGTACTTAGACGGGGTACAAGATAAGCATAACTGTGTGATTGAAAGATGATGACCAATGATACACCTAGCTACCGTATAATATCATCATTGTTTTTTTATCGCAGTCTGAAATAGAAAATTAAGTTGGTATACTCTTTATCAAGGTAAGTACCATACGGTATCAATCGAAGAAGTTCTATTGAGGTTTAAATCACCCCTCTTTCACTTTAAAGGTTTCTACCCAATTTATGTTAGGAGTGAGGAATGTCTGACCTTTAGTCAAGTGTATGAACAAGTCATGTGTTTGTTCATATTCATAATTCACTTTATTTTCTACAACCATAATGCATGCTTCACGTATATAACCTGGTTTATCCAGGGGACACATTCTTATAATGAGCATTTTTGGTGAAATCTTCGGAATGGATTCTATACGGAGGGTAGATAACTCAATTGCTACTTACAGATTAAAGAAAAAAATAGTTCGCATGAAGTTTGTTTTCCGAGCATTGGATACTCGAATTGATACACCTCACTGAGAAAACTCTGAGTTTTAACACTGACTAGAATAATATATTTAGTTAATAAATAAAATTCCTAGGATATCTTTGATCCAATAGTTTGAAAATCAAAATTTTAGAAGAAATGAAATCTCTCAGTTCCCTCTCAACCGTGCACGAATATTGATGACCTGAAATGGCCTAAATATAAATTCGAGTCTTAATTGAACGAGTTTGTAGGACCTTTTTAGCTGGATACAAAATAATGATCATTTCAAAATGGAGAGAATATTAAAAGTGTAGCGAAACTAGTGGATCTTATTTCCAGGATTCGTCTTGTACTTTTTTATTTTGCATAAATAATATTGACTAAAATCTATTTTAAATTTGTTGGAGCCTATTAAATTGCGTGAAATTTTATATTATAGCATGACAGTTTCTCCATTAAGGTGGTTATGTCGAAAGATTATTAATTTGGTTAATTTTTATTTAGAACGCCGTTGTTAAAACGCTGCAAGACATTTCAACGAATGTGATTTTTTTTAATTGCAAAAAGGATGTACTTAAGTGGATTTACAGGCTATAATTAGTAGATGTCAAAATTGTTTGCATGAAACAAGATAGAATCTAGGAAAACAATTAACAGATTGACCCTATCTATATATTTATTATGGAAATGACGAGAAACTGCAAAAAACCGTACATTCAATGCTTAAATCACTTTGGAATATAAACACAGTTATTCATAAACAGAAATAAAAAATAAAAAATGATTTAAATATTTTACGCAATTTAAATTTTTAGTGCTTCAACTCACTCGAATTCGACGCATTGAGGACACAATCTCCAATCGATTCTGTGGCCTTGGAACTTCCATTGCTCCGATAAACTAAAGTTCAAAATAATAAATTGGTACAGAGATATATAAGCGTAAAGTATTACCTAACCAATAATAAAAAGGGACTTAGAAATGCTTGAAAATATGTGCAATAAGTTCAAATTCATTTTTTCATTAAATTTTTGGCACAATTTTAAAGTCTGTTCATAAGGAAACCAATTAATGCAGGGTATTTGTCTTAAGTAAAGAGGGCATTTGAATTTTGTGAGAAAATAGCATATGAAAAACCAAGTTTTTAAAAAAACTAAACAAAGACGAGAAATATTTCAATTTGAATCGGGAAAAATTGCGCAATAAATTTAAATTCCGTTTTAAAAGTTAAAATTTTTGACTGGGAATTTTCAGCCAAAAGCTAATTGGATGATCAAAAAGCTACTTATCAAAAATACGTCACTAGACATTCATTAATGATTAGTTAGTGCTTTCCAATGCCCAATTAACAAGAGCTTTAATTTAACTAAATGAATGCCATTTTTTAATTAAAACGATTGTTAGGTACTCAAATGTATTTTTACAAAGTATGTACGAAGGAGATGATTTTGAAAAAATTACGTGAAGTGGGTTTTAATAATAATGTGTAATTTCCATTATTGTTGAATTCTTATTTCCAAATATTTAAAATGTTTATTATTACCTATGGCTTGTTTTGAAATCTCTAGAATCGAGCGAAGAGAAGGTAATTAAAAGGTTCTAGCTGAGGTCTATCAAAGTGGTGATGGAAGCGTACAATTAATTCACGAGTACCTCATGGCTAGGAAGTTGGAAAGAATCTAAAACCTTGAATCGCTATTGTTTTCAATTTCTTATAATCGCAAAGGCACATTTAGTAGCTTGTGCTTCAAACGCTTATCACTCCTCTGTTAGCTTAACTTAAAACAACTTTTGGGTTATTTTGAAATATCGCCCCCGGAAACATGGGCATTCATTACGATTCCACATAGAATGAAAGTGAAAGCGCAGTCATGTTAAAAGTGATATCTTTAGAGGAATGAGCTCTGAAGGAATAAAAACAAATATTAGCTATCTGGTATGCCTAATTCAACCCTTCCGAATTCACTTATTTTGACAGTTTTCTGTTGCGCCTTTCATTAATCATAGTTAAAATTAACCTGAATTTTAGTATTCAATTTACCTTGCATTTACGTTAAAAGTGGCAAAAATAATTTGGAGTCCAAAATAAATTTTCCATGAATGAGGATGTTATTCATGTACTCAAATTTTAACATTTTGAAAGGGAATTAATTTTTGTCACGTCAATAAACATTGAACACTTGAATTTCCTTACGCATTCGTATTTAATATGGAAAAGTAAAACATGCAGAGAAATGTCCATCATCCGACTTCAAAAAATAGTGATATAATAGATTAAAAAACCTATTTGTCTTCTCTTTTAGGTCTTCGTTTTTCAGGAAATCGAATCACTCTTGAGAATAATTAAATAAACGATTCCACGAGTGCAGGAGTAAATTGAATTTCACAACAAATCAAATTACTTGACCTAATTCGACAGATCTTGTTTCTGTTTGATTAAATTACTCCCCCCCTCCCCTTAGTCAAATTAGCACAAATTTATTAGAATCCGATTTAAATTATCAAGGTAGCACGCTAATATAAAGGGCAATTTTATTATTTGTTTAACATATTTTAAAAGTTTATAAAAATAGAATAAACAAAAATTAAGAATTCATTATAAATTAGTAAAAAATAAATGAAGTGTTTTAATTATTTTGGTGCATGTAACAAAGTAAAAAAGCTAATACCCTCGCGTTACTCCAACTTGTGAGAAATTTTGTTACTTAGCGCTGAAACACATCCTTTAGGTAATTTGTATTTCAATACTTGTCTATGATTTTTGTTCCAGTCTCAGATATAGAGCATCAATTACTTAGGCATTTTAGAATTCCATGAAAGAAGTAGCACCGCTTAATCTCATTTACCTGTTGCATAACGCCGTATAAGGCGATGAAGTAAAGCAATGAAGACTTCAGTTGCCATTATGTCACATCCAAGGGAAAATCTACAATCCGTCCCCATCCTGTCATGAGTATGCTAGCGATGGCGACTTCTGAGTACATCCTGTGTCCCCACTAAATTGGCAATCACTTCTCCCTTCTATTTCATTACATCATCAATTAACTCTCAGATGAAAGGGAAGGGAGGGGGGGGGGGCTTTAAACTTTCTACCCATTCATTGAGGTTGTAAAAGGTGACATAAACTACTAAGGGGAAACTAGATAAGCGAATTGTAAAATTCAAAGGATTTTGTAATTAAAATAACTAAATTAATGAACTCAGTTAAAACTCCTATTTGTCCCCAAGTCTGTTTAAGAAAGTGCTTTTGGGCACACAATTATGTCATACCAAGAAGTCATCTTGACGTCGTTATTAAGAAAATTTCAATCATTATAACACTAGGTATTATTGACAATTTCAAACAATTAATTCTGCTTGAATGATTTTGAATTTATGACCTCAAATTTGACAGTTAGTGCGGCCTTGTTATTATCAAAGCTACTCATTTACGATCTTTTAACGAAATTCATCCCAATCTTATTTTGGCTGCTTGTAAAAGCGATATTTGACAAATTTTAAAGCACATCACGAATGTATGCCAAATTGGACCTAATCTATATTGTCAAATAAACGATGTGCTTACATCGATAACCAATAATCACAATTCTGATTCATGCTTTAAGGATTAATTTTAATTAATGTTAAAATAATTATGGTATTATGGTGATTTTGCAAGCATTAAACCCAGTTCCAGTTGAATGATTTAGTTGAAAGGAAAAGCTGCAAATGATGGATTGGAAAATATCCAAATAATGGATATCATCCACTTACATTTACCATTTGAAAATTCACATTTCTCTGTCGACCTAAATGTGGGAAATTTAACTCACCACGAAGTAATTGATACTTTTATAGTATTAAGTATCACAAATGAATTATTCTGTTAACCACAACATTAATTATTTACATCCATTTGAAAGGCTGACACAAGAATGACTTTAAATTGAATTAAAACAAATGAATAAAAAGAGCAAATTTGTTTCAATTGAATTAAGTAAGCAAAATTATCATTCTGTTGGGATTAGTGTTAAGGCCTATTCCAGACCGGATAAAATTCTCAAATAATAAGCGAGTAAAACTAAAAACTCAGTTTATTTTATATATTTGTTGAAGACTAATAAGGCGATCAATATCTATTCAAAGTCTTTTATTAAATATATTTTTTTAAAATCTATGGAGTACTTAAAGAATTCTCATTTCTAATAGTTGACTCGTTTAATTCAGCTTAATTAAAGTAACAAATTCTGAATGAATTTTAAAATGCAAAGCTTATTGGCTTAATTTTTTGATAAATTATTTCATTTTCTACCGAAATTAGATGGCTCTATCTAGAATTGAAGTGTTCTTAAAAGTGTCATAAAAAGTTGTTTAAAAGAATGAAATTCCATTTTGAGAGTCATTACTTTTTTCTAAAAGACCCGTGAAAGAAAGCATGCCCTTAATGAATCCGGAATAAAATACCAGTTAGAGCCATTAAGTCCGTTGAATGTGTGTCTAATATTCAATAATGATATACCCAGATTTTTCATTGAGTTAATGATAGCCACAATTTAAATTCACTAGAATAGGTCTCTCTGAACGAAAGTCATTTATATTTCAGTTCAGGAGGACTCAGGTACCTTTTCTCTGTTATTCAGAATGCTTAATAGTCACATTTGAGAAATATTTCTAAAAAGATAATACAACTAAACGTTGCAACATTATTATGTTGACTTCCTTAAAGATTAAATATCTTGGTAACGTTTTACGAGACACCTGCATCCAGCCAAAGTGAACTTTTTCTCTACCCATTCGCTGAGTGCTAGTCTTGGGCAGAATTAATAGTCGTGTACATTTTATACCATTATTGACAATTTTGAATTAGGGTTCCATCAACCCTAATTAAGATCGATGCAATTTAATTCACTTAAATAAAGTGGACTAAACGTTTGGTTGGTTGGAGATATGCATTGCCAAACCATGAAACTCCAGAGTGTATTTAGCCAGTTTGCAACTTAAAGCCTCAGATGATAGTATTTAGTTTAATAATAGATTAAACAAAGGCACAAGTAACATGGTCTCTTAGTAATCTCTCACCAAGTCTAATCGAAACTCAGTCGTTTGGCTACCTTTTATACTTACATTACGCGCTTATGAAATCAAAAAAGCCAAAAGAAAAGGAAAAAGAAGAGAAGTTGCCAGAAGTAACGCGAGTTTGTTTTATTTTATACTGTTGATTTAAGCAAAGAATGATTTTGAACAGTTTTAGACAGTTGCCAATAATGATTAGAGGGTATTTACTGACCTTGTAGCACACAGCCCAGAAAGTCTATTGTTCTGTTTAATGCTACTTGTTCATAAGTAATGAAAAGGTCATATTTAGAATTCGTCGTCAGTGGAGAAAATCTAAACAAAGTTTCAAAGACCGATTTTTCTAAAGAATTTCAGAATTCCTTCTAATTACGGCTTTATTTTGAGGAAAATGCCTTTAAAATTATGCCTTTTATGCTGAATAATGATAATACTGATATTCGCACTATTCAGACGGCTTTCATTAAGTCCAATCATTCAGTTGCCATGTCAACCCGCACAGCCAAAATTCCTCACCATAGAAAACCGCATGATACTAAACAATGGAATTCATCAAATTACAGTATTAAGTAACGACTATGATGAGCAAAAAAGTAACTCATTGATTTGCAGTAAATGAAATGCGCCATTAATAAACTTAGTAATCATCCGCCTTAAAGACACACATCCGGAATTGGCAGATACTGGGAAAATCTCAGAGCTTACAAAACTGAAGTTAAAACCTACATTAAAGTACCTTAATGCCTTTCATTTGGGGGCTTCAGAAAATCGGTTTCTTGAGAAGGTTATCCCACACTATCTGACCTTCCACACTCGTTAAGGAAGAGTTGAGAACA